GCGGGGACCCATTGAGGAAGGCGCAGCCCTCCAAGATGCTAGCCACAGCGAAGAGAGTGGAGGGCGACACCTCCAGGCCCAGCTGTGGACGTAGGGGGACGATCAGCACGGAGGGGTCCTCTGGGGCTGGTCCTGACCCCTCTTCCCAACCCTGGATGCACCCACCTGGATGGTCCGCAGCAGGTTCTCGGCGGTGTCATTGAGGCCTGGGACCACTTCGCAGAAGCGCTCCGTGTTCGCTGTCCACAGCACGATGACTTTGTCTAGCCCAGCACTGGACCGGAAGTCGCGGATGTCCCTGCGGATCTGCTCCAGCTGGGCGGGGAGGCAAGGAGGTTGTACAGGCCCCTCGAGCTGGGAAAGTCTGGGCTACTCTTCCCCAAGTGCAAAGTGAGGTCTGGAACCTCAGGATGGGAACGAGGAGACAAAAGGCCAATAACGCGGGGGGGTGCGGGGGTGGGATGAGAGGGGTGGTGGGTGGTAACTCGGGGCCAAAGGCAAGAGCAACAAGTGGCAAGGGATACAGGGTATGGGGCGGGGCCGCACCTGCTGTGCGCGCGTGCCCAGTATGAGGTTGTCAGCGCGCGCACTCTGGTTAGCTGCGATGAACTCGGGGATGTAGACAGAGGGCCGCGGGCGCAGGGCCTCCAAGTGCGGCCACAGTTGCTCCTGCAGCCCCCAATCCAGTACCTGCGCGCGCCGCATCGCCTCAGCCAGGTTCAGCGACGATATGTCCCAGCCTGGGGCGGCGGGGGGGAGGGGAAAGGAGGGGGGACGGGCGGGGGAGGGACGACACACCCCCAAGCTCAATCCAACCCAGAACGTGGGCCCCTCCAGGCCCCGCCTCCCACCTCAGCCCCCAGCCTAGGGCCCCGCCCACCGTCGAACACGAGGTCGTCGGGTGCCACCATGGGCAGCAGGGCGCTGAAGGGCACGAACACCTCCTGGCCGTCGGCGTCCAAGCCCAGGCTAACGGTGCCCGCCTGCGTCAGCGAGCCGTAGTAGTTGGCCGCCTGGGGGGGCGGCAGGCGGGGCGAAGTGAGGTGGGGCGTGGCGTGAGCCACTAGCCGGCCCGGGCCCCGCCCGGCACCCTCAAGCTCCGCCTTCCTTCTGGATGCCTCAGCTCTGTGCTCCTAGCCAGGGCAGAAGTCGCTCGGCCTTTGGAGGTCCCCCCCCCCACCCCCGGGAGCCCGCCGGCACCTTAGGCTCCGTCCCCGGAGGGTCTCCTCCTTCGTAGAGCTCCGCCCCCTAAAGGCCCTTCCCCCTCCTGCAGGGACTCGGGCCGAGCCCCACCCGACCCCCCACCTTGCGGCCGGTGCGCGTGGGCCAGGACAGGCGCAGTCGGTTGGCCAGCACGGCAGCGGTGAGCGTGGAGCCGTTGTTCCCGCCCCAGCCGACGAGCATGACCCCAAGCCGGGGCACCTGCCGGGCGGTCCGAAAGGTGAAGCGCGTGGACATGGGGTATACCTGGGGGCGGGCGGTGCAGTGAGCCTGAGGCCACAGGCCCTTCCTCCCTCACAGTCTTCGACGTTGGGTAATTCCCGTCTCCTCCCGGCTCCCTGGTTCCCCCATTCCCACCATCCCCCCACCCCGGGTCCCTTGCCTACCTTGAGGACACTGCCCTCGCGGCTGACGCACGTTGTCCGGTACTCGTACTGAGCCTCGATGGCGTCGGGGCCGTAGACCACGTCGGGGCTCTCGACCACGAAATCGGCTGTGGCCTCCATCGCGGAGAGCTAGGGGCGCAGGGTGGGCAAGGAGGTCAGCGGGGACAGGAGAGCCGGCGGCCCGAGCCGACCGCGGTCCCCAGGGAGCCCGCACCACGCCCAGGGCCGCACTCACCGGCGCGGAGTCAACTCGGACAGTGGCGGACGGCGAGGGCTCGGGGCGCGCGAACTCCAGAGAAAAGAGCCGCGGCCCCGCCCCCGCCCCGCCCCTCACCCCACCCGCGCCAGGGAGGAGGGGCGCGCGGGGAGGAGGGGCGCGCCGGCCTAGGACTCGGAGGACTCGGAGGACTCGGGTTCAAGGCCCCATAGGCCCGAGCCATCACTGCCCTTGGGCTCCCCGCCCCCCACCGGGCGCGGCCGGACGTCCACGTGGGCTGCAGACCCCGGCCCGCGCACCGGGCGCGTGGATTCGCTTCACACCACAGCCGGTTAGGGCGCGCGGCCACTTCCCCTCATTTTACGAAAGAGGACATTAAGGCTGCAAGGGAGCGCCAGACCCAGCCACCAGGCAGGAGGTGGAGCTGGGCAGGAGGGCTGGGCACCTGGGTCCGAGATAACTGCAGTGGAAACGAGGGTCAAAGACTGAGCCAGGGCTCTGACTCCACAGCCAGGCACTCCTCCAGCCTGGGCCGCCTCCGCCTCCCCCTTCCTGAGCAGGGCTACCCACCACGCACTCCGGGCAGGGCTCACACGGTGTGTGTAAGGGGCGCTGCGAGGCCTCGGTTTCCCTACCTGTAGTGGGAGGGCTTGGCAGGGCCAGGCTAGAGGGGGGCCAGTGTTCGGTGAGGAGAGGAGGGGAAGGGAAGGGGCAGGACCAAGGAGGTCAGCTGGGGAGGAGCTAGGCAGGCACAGCACTGCGCCCCCCTAGCACCCAGTGATAAGGGAGCGTGGGAACCCGGAGGGCGGGCGGGCGGGGGCGGCTCCCCCAGGAACTTTCCAAAACAAGCGGCCTCCTCCGGCTGGAAAGTTTCCACCACTGGAGCTGACCCAAAAGGTGGATAGTTGGGAACGCTCACAGGAAACATGGTCAGGGCCTGGCCTTGGGGGTTGGGGGCTCCAAGACTCCGGTTCCAGGCTTTGCCCTCGAGGGACTCCAGTGTGGCGGAGCCGGAAGTAGACTAGGGCACCCCTAGCCAGAGACAAGTCAGAAGTAGGGTCTGGCAGGGCAGGTTGCCTAGAGGAGGTGGCTGCTGGAAGGCGTCTTGAGATGCAAAGACATCTCTTATCAAGAGATAGGAAGGACTGCCCAGGCAAAAACCTGGGGGAGTGGGTTCAGGGGCAGATGAAAAGGTGGCCAAGGTGGAAGGGGGAGAGCAGCAGTTTGGGGACCAGGGCAGACCCTCAAGGCTGGGGACAGGGAATATTGTGTAACAAATATTTGGGTTTTGTCCCTGGTTTCTGGCTGGAGATGGAGTTCAATCGCCAAAGGCTGGTGATTTCATCATACCTACATAATGGAAACTCCGTAAAAACCCCGAAACCGCACGGGTTGAGCGAACACAAGAAGTGTGGGGGGGGGCACACCTGGAGAAGGGCATGGGCGCCCAGTGCCGTTCTCCACACCCTGCCTTCAGCATCTACTTCCATCTGGCTGTTGGAAGTGTCTTCCTGAGCGCTGTGAGCCATTCTAGCAAACCTCGGAGGGAGCCATGGGAACCCCTGATGTATAACCAGTTGCTCACAAGTATGGGTGGCCAGAGACTTGTGGCAGGTGTCTGGAGTGGGGGGCGGTCTCATGGGACTGGGTCCCTAACCTGCGGGCTCTGATGCCAGCTCCAAGAGCTGAAATACAGTTGGCGCCGGGGGGTCTGAAGGGAGCTTGCGCCTCTGAGTGCCAGGTGACCTGGGAATGTGCAGAGACTGGACAGGCCCCCAGACCCAGCCCTGGGGAGCCTGAGTACTCATGGGGCAGCCTGTGGGAGGTGCCAGGAGGAGGGCAAGGGCAGAGCGGTCAGCTGGGCACCGGACAGTGATGGCAGGGATCGCCTGGGTGTGCAACATGGGGGGGACTGTGCTGCCTGGGAGTGACTGGGGACCTCTGTCCCCACCATAACACAGGCTCCTGAGGGCAGGGGCAGGGCTGTCTCCGTCACTAAGTGCCAGTGCCCAAGCGGAGCCTAGCACACAGGAAGGGCCGTGGGATCAGAGTGCTGGGGGGATGACAACCAGGGACGTTGGCCAGCCAGTGGCAGGGGTGAGCGGGCGGCCCCAAGGTTGTGAGGTTGGGAAGACCTTTCTGGGGCCCCTGGGGGGCTGGATTTGTGGCATCCTTGGCTCAGGAAGGATCCTGATGGGACTCCCTGCGGCTAAGGTGCACTCAGGGAGTAATGGCCATGGTGCCTGTGGGCAGCGTGAGGGGCTGCAGGGGAGTCTGGTGATGGGCCTAGGGGAGCACGTGGGCAGGGCAAAGCTGCGGCTTGATGGGGTTCAAGGGAGCAGACACTGGCCCTGGACCTTGGGCTGTGGGGATAGAGATGTTATCCCCTAAAAGCCCGGTGTGTGCCACTCTGCCCCACGGGGCCCGCCTGACCTTGTCTCCTGCGCCCCTTGGATTCCCCGGGCCACCTTAGAACTCCGGCCAAAGCTGGGGTCAGCGGGGCTGTCCAGGAGGCTAAGGCCCAGAGCCCCTGACCCCTGGAGCCCTTTCATCCCAGGCTTATTCTTTGTCTGTTTTTCCTTTTGAAAATAAACACCCACCCCCACTCCGTCCTTCAGGAGCAGGACCCTGACCCCTGCCTTCATCTCCTCACCTGGAGCTTGGGACAAGGACAGCCGTCCCTGTTGGCATCCTGGGCCTGGGGGATTCCACTGGGCCCGGTATCCCCATCCCCATCATGGGCGCAGGGGCAGCCCCAGCAAGCTGGCCTAGCGGGAAGAGACAATAGAACAGGGCCGTCACTGCTGTCTTCCCCAGCCGCAGCTCATTTCCCCAAGGAAGGGCACTCCCCGGGCCCCATGTGGCCCTACTACTGCTGGGGGCTGTGGCACTCCGGAAGGCCCCTGCTCATATACCCACCGTGGCTCCCCACTGCCCCCATATCCAGGCGGTGTGACCTCATGCCTCGCACGAGCAGGGCCCACCGCCTTAGCCAGTCAGCTTCCGCCGCCGCCGCCGCCGCCGCCAGCCTCCCTCCCACCCCCCACCCCCCACCCGCCCATCGCCGTGGCTGCTCCAGGGCCAATCTCCTCCTGACCCCAGCCCACCCCCACAGGGCGCCAGGAGGCCCCGGCTGTGACAGACACAAACGCACCCAGGCACTTGGGGCTGCTAGGTTCAGTTCAGTGAAATTTATTGTAGGTTGAAAAAATCAGCATTCACCTGTTTAGTGTACAAAAAGGACACTAGATCTTTTAAGAAAATATTAGGAAACTGAAGACGCGGATGCCTTTCAATCGTAACATTTTGGCAAAAGTGAAAAGTTCTTGTAAACACCAACTCCATGGCTCAAAATAGTTTTTCTCCACAGTACAATATTAAAAAGGGGGGGGGAACACAGTATCAATAAGTTAGACCATATTTAATCAGCTAGGACTTTCGTCCATCAACCCCCAAAGCACAAAACTTTTCTTAGCTTCATAATTCCTTAAAAGGAGAAAAACAACAACAACAACAAAACAACAAAAAGCCAACAACAAAAAGGAAATTCAACTTAGAGTCCCTTGAACTGGTTCCCAGGGCAGAGGGCCGGGTCAGCCCTCAGGCTGCAGCCTCCTTAAATAATCCTTCACCCGAGTCTGCATGTCCAGCTGAGCACATGACATGGCTGTTTGCAGAACTCGGGGGTCCCTGGGGCCTGCACCCCCCACTCCATCCCAAATGAAAAACAAAACAACAGCCATTGAAACATGAAGGATCAGTTCCCTTGGTGCTCCGGGCATCCCAGGGGTCCCAGGGCAGGAGCTGGTGGGGCGGGGCGGGCATACTGCAGGTGCCTCCACTCGGCGCCTGCTCTTTGGGAAGCCATGAGGAGACGTCCCCGTGGCTTAGAAAAATAGACATGTCTACTGAGCATTTCTGCTCTCCCTGCCTCACTACTGTTGGTGGCAGCACCCCCCCACATCCCCCAGCTTGCGAGCCCCCGGCTCCAGGTTGCAGCCACTCCCTCCGCCTTCCCCAGTCCTGGGTGGCTTCGCTGAATGTGAACACACGCCTCAGGCCCCACTGCACGCCGGCAGGGCCCCCCCACACACACGTACACGCGTGCACACACGCACACACGCGCATGCGTGCGCGTGGTCCCCCGACACTTTGGGGGACACTAGACTAGGCACGGCTACTAAGCAGCAATTATGGTGTCCATGGATCCCATGCCCCCAGAGTGAGCGGATAGGGCACGTTTTCTGAGCTCACTCTCGGGGGGTCCCCTGACCCCATCGACCCCCAGCCCCTCCCTGAGTGCAAACCCTGCGGTGGCTCTGCTAAGATGACCCCAAGACCCACAAGCGGACTGAGGGATGGAGTGAGGTCAACAGCATGGAGACCACTCGGTCTCAGCGCGAAAAGAAAAGCAGCAGCAAAGGGGGGAGATTGAGAACATAATAAAATAAAATCCGACACTGCTGCTGCAGTGTGAGCTCTGGCACAAAAACCCCGGTGACCCCCTACAGCTGAGGGCCTGAAATAGCGGGGCAGGCCTGGTGGGCTGAGAGCCGCTCGGCCCGCAGCTCTGCCCCTGCAGCTCCCAGCAGCTGCTCCGGGGCCAGCTGGAGTTCTCGAAATAGACCTGGGCGGGCCTCCACCCCCTTAGAGACCCCGTCCTGGCCTGGGCGGGGAGAGGCGGGGACCAGAGGGAGGGCCCGGGGCAGGAGCACAGCCAGACCCAAGCACAGGCCAGCCGGCTGCACCCTCCCCACCCCCGCCACCCCCCCTCCTCGGGTCTCCCCTCAGCCCTGGGGAACAACTCTGAACTTTCAGAGGCATCTGTAATACTGCAGGAAGGACACAGGGCAGCATTTAGACCTGGTGTCCAAGGAGGGGAGGCACAGGTTTAGAAAAGACGCTTTCTCTCTCATACAAAAATAGACGGAAGTCTCATAAGCAGGAGCTAAAAGTGGCTGTCTTTGTATAAAACTAGAAAAGGCAGGCAGGCTGGCCTCGGAGTCTTTCCATGAGGGGACGCTGGAGCCCTGGGGCTGTGGGCCGGATAGGGGTGGGCTTCCTGAACAGCCCATCCCGGGTGGGGGCGCTCCTCAGGAGGTGTGGTGGGCTGGGGTGGGGGGGGTGGGAGGGTCGGATGAGACGCCGGCCACCCCACCTCAGTCTGTGAGCTGAGGGCACCAGGTCTGCAGGGGCTCCCCTGAAAGCCGGCGTTGCTGGCTCAGATGAACGTGTCTTCCTCGTGTTTATTTTTTTAAATAAATCTCTTTTTCCGCTCTGTAGCTCCCCCCCCCCCCGCCCCCAGCTCCCCCGCCATCCAGAACGGTCGGCCCGGCAAGGGGAGCTGGCCTAGCGAGCCAGGCAGGACCTCCTGCCCCGTGGACTCAGGCTAGGGCCAGGCCTGCAGCTGCCGCTGGTCGTACTCGGCAATGAGCCTCTTGATGTGGGCCAGCTTGCTGTGCAGGTACTCGCAGCGGTGCTTCTCCTGGCTGTAGTTGGTGTTGGTCTGCAAGAGAGAGGCAGGGCTGAGCCACATCCTCCACCCAGCCAGCCTCCCGGTGCACGGCCTGGTGTGGCGCCCGCCCACCTACGGGCCGCCCTGGGCTCCCACTACCCCTGCCTGTAGGCCAGTGCCCACCACACAATGACAAGGACCCTTGCTCTACCTTAGGCCAGAGCCCCGGGATGGTGTCCCGCCCCAAGCCCCAGCCTAGGAAACAGGGTCACTGCCGGGATGAGGGTGGCCAGAGGCAAGACTGTCATGAAGCCTCCTTCCTGGGCTGGGGGCCTGGCTGGCAAAGAAAAGCCCCGGCACACAGGGGCGCACACACGTGGTGAACCCACAGCCAGTGGCCTTCCGAGCAAGAGCTGATAGGGCCCTGAGGAGGCATTCCTGCCGCTGGGGGTGGGGAACTTCAGCTCCTCCCCTGACCTTGGAGGGAGCGCCAAAGAGCCCGGGGGCTGCAGCCACGGAGGAGTGGGAGTGCTAGTGGGTGCTTTGCTGCCAAGGGAGATATGGGCTGAGCTTCTCAGCTCTAAATTGGGGAAGGGGGGCGGGCAGGAGCTGCTCTGAGGACCTGAGACCCCCAGGCCAGCCAAGGCCCTTGTCTAGTGCTGCTCACCTTGAGACAGCTTTTTCTGACCCCACCCCACCCCCCACTAGGGGTGGAGACATACCTTTTTGATTTTTCGATATTCCTGCAAAATCTGCCCCCGAGTAGTCTGGAGGAAAAACAAAACAGAAAGTACACAATGCCCTTGCCTGCAGGAGACCCCTACTGAGTGACCCCTTCTCCCCTGATAACCTGTGACCTGCATAATCACCACCGGCCTTGAGACAATAGTCTCATCATGGCCTGAGAGAAGCTGACCAAAGTAAAGAGAGGTAGGCTGGGGTGGGAGGGGAGGATGAGCAGGGCAGGAGGTGGGGGAGGATGCTGGGCCAGGGGAGTGAGGGGCAGGGGCCCAGCCTCAGGGACAAACACAATGGCCAGCACAGCGGGAGGGAGGAGGCAAAGAGCAGGCCGGGAGGCCTCCTTCCCCCACACCCAGCTGGCCGGGTCGCTGTTCAAGGTCAAGCGCAGAGCCCCCTCCCCCTACACACCTGGGGGTGCAGGGGCATATTGGGGAATATCCATGTGGAGGCTGCAGGAGGGAGAAGAGCAAGACCCCGGGATTCCTCTGTCCCAGACCCTCAGAACCCTCATCGCTCCTCCAGTTGTGAGCGGTTTCCTCTGGAAACCAAAGTGGTCCCCACGAGGGCCTCAACACCCCAGCTAATCAGACTAGCTCTGAAAGGTGGCACGAGGGGAGGCTGGTGACCAAGGATGGAGTTCCCCCCCCACACTCCACCCCCCAGCAGTGAGCTCCCAACATGGGCTGGCTTGGGGAGCCCACGTGCCTTTGATGGGAGGGTGAGGGGGCCATAGGGGCTCTCCAGCCCCACCCCTGTGGCTCTGACAGCATGGGTGGGCTGTGAGCCGCAGAGAGGACCCAAGGCGCTCTTGCAGGGCAGAGCCGTGTGACCCGACCCTACAGGGCCTGGCTGTTTCAATGGCTCTGAACACAACTCCTGCCCCAGCGGGTCGGGTCTCCCACCTGCAGAGTCGGTCTTGGGTGTCCCCACTGCACCGGAGGCCGAGCTGGGCCCGAGAGCCTGTGGGCCCCCATGGCAGAGTTGCAGGGACGGACCCGAAGCACAGCGGCGGCCGGGGCCAGCTGAGTGCCAGGCTGGGGACGCGGAGCGACACTGGCGGAGCGCAGTGGCCCTCCTCACCGGGGAGGGGTTGGAGGCCTGGGGCTTGGCCGCACCCATGAGCAGCCTCTCACCCAGGTCGGGCGCGGGCACGGGCCCCTCCCCCCGCCGTACCTCGTACTCCTCGGAGCCCTGCGGGAGCTGCCGGAGCTGGGCATCCAGCTGCGTGAAGCGCCGTGTGACCCGCTCGATGCGTGCGTGCAGACCGCGGTACTCGCTGTACTCCGCGTTGAAGTCGTTCTTGTAGCGCTGCCGCTGCTCCGGGGAGGAGATGGCGGCGTATCTTCTGAGGAGACGGGAAGAGGGGCCGGCAGGGCTCAGGGGGCCGCGGGGGGGGGGGGGGGGGGGGGGGGGGCCCGGGGGCCCCCGGGCGCGGGGGGGGCCCCCCCCCCCCCCCCGCCGCGGGAGGGTGCCCCCCCCCCCCCCCCCCCCACGCCGCCGCCGCCCTACAGTGCAGGGGAGAGTGTGGGCCGCGGAGAGGGTGGCAGGCCGGCGAGGGAAGTACTCACAGCAAGTAGTCGGGGGTCTCTGAGGTCGAGGTGGGGACGCTTGAGCTGTTGCAGGTCCCATTCAAACCTACAAAGGAAGAGCAGAAGGTCTGCTGTCTGAAAGACACGGCGGGATAGCAGAAGGGGAGTCAGGATGGGCAGAGGGCCACCTGGGGGGGGCTCACGGGACCCAGGAACACCACCGCGGAGCACTGCGGGTGCCCCCGAACCACAGCCGTGGGACGTGCAGAGAGCCCAGATGGTGCCACGTGCAGGTTTTCAGCAAGCGGCTGCAAGGACAAGTTCATCACAGGGCCAGCGCCTGGGCAGCCCGGCCAGAGCCTGACCCACCCAGAGACCCCGCTGCCTCTGCTGACCGATCATTACTCTGGAAATGAGCAAGCCCCTCGCCCAGCTCCGGCCCGGCAGGACGGAGACAGAGGGCCACTCGGGAAAGTCCTGGCTCCTGCCTGCAGCCCAGGCCACCCACGAGGTGGAACTGGAGGGCACGGGCCTGTCCACGGCGCTTGGGGGGCACAATTGGCCAAAACTATAATCTAGCCTCTTCCCCAGGGGCTTCTTTCCTAGCACAGAAGAGATTTCATCACTGTGCAGTGTACCCTCAGTACACACTGTGCCCCCCTTAGAGAGGAAAGCAGCCCCCCTGGGAATCCCTGCGCCGCAGGACTCCCACCAACGGATGGAGCACACATCTCCCACCTCTCGGGGTGGCAGCCCAATGGACACGCATGCGAGAGCTTAGTCCGTGCTTCCACCTCACATGCCTTGCATGACGTATGCCTTCCAGAGTGTTCTGCCATTTGTGGGCCCAGTTAACATTGCCTCATTTAGCCCTTCTGAGATCTTCACCAGGTGAGAAAACAAACGGGGAAACCAAAGCTCAGGGACAGATTCTCCTGGCACCTAAGACACCTTCGAGCTCTGGCCTGAGGCAAACCTCAGAGGCCCTGCTCCTACTGCAGCCCTCGCTGCTCGGCCATCGCTCAGCCCCTGCTGCACTCGCTCAGCTGGTTCCCACCACAGGGCCTGGGCCTAAAGGGAACCCTCCCCACAGCTGCCTTCTCATGTGCCCCTTCTACTAGCTTCTCCCGTGCTTCCCCCGGGTCTGGGTCCCACTGTGAGAAGGCTCCCCACCCCACCCGCCCCCCACCCAGCACACCAGGCTGCCCAGGAAGGCACACCGAGGCAACAGGAGGGGTCCACGGACCGAGCAAGAGTGGGGAGGAGGCACAAGGATGGGCAGAGGACCCAGGGGTGGACCGGCAGCACAGGGGGACAGGCAGCCAGCCCTGAGGGGCACGAGTTGGGGTTTTGGGTCCAAGGTGGCATCAGCACAGGGGTGGCTAAGGAGAGCCATCTGCCAAACAGGTGGGGGCTGCTGCATCTGTCTGGGGCAGAGGTAAGCATGCGGCAGGGCCGGGACGATGCCACACAGAGGAATGGGGTCACAGTTGATGCCGTCCCTCCCATATGAGACACAAAAGCAAGGAAGCATCCTCACATGCTGACCTGGAACCTTCTCCAGTGCGTCTGAGGCACGGGCTGGTGCACAAAGAACAATGCCATTGTTAAAGGGAGGTGGGTGGTTCCTGCTGGTGTGAGCACAGGCAGAGCACACTGTCCTGGAAGGAGCCTCAGAGCAGGACGGTAGGCCTCTGTGCTCAGCCATTACCGTTACATTTGAGGCGCCTGCAAGACGCACATTCAGATGGATAAAGCACAATTTTTAGTGCCTGGTTGTCCTTTTCTTTTCCCCTGGGCCACCTACTCCCTGGTTTGCCTGATTCCAAATCTCACTTTCCCACCTTAGCCTGGGGCAAGCTACCCAGGCCAACGAGCCCTGGGCAGGATCCGAAGCCGTCTGAGCGCCATGTGCCCTCCTCCTTCCCTGGGCCCTGCCAGGGGAACAAGGGCCTTGCGTTCACCATTTAGGACAGGACGTGCTACTTGGCTGGGCCTGCTCAGGGTTTGTCTCTCCAGGCAGGACCAGCTCCAGGGAACCAGGCCTTGCCTCCATCCGGCTACTGCCAACACCTGCCCTCCAGCCAGAGGGATGGGCTGGGAAAGGCCTTTCTGGAGAGCAGTTGAACAACTCATTAGAAAGCCTTAAGGAGAAAGCAGCTCTACCCTTGCCCCAGGAATGCCTCCTGCTTGGATCCTTCCTAGGGAAATAATCTGAAAGCAGCACCAAGTTACACAGCCTGAGACTGTCCGCAGGTGGCAGGTGCAGCTGCATCTTTGTGGCCACACCATGCTGATTAGGTTAACAGCCACAGGAGGTGTTCCGCTCAGGCACACCCAACTATGAACTCAAGGTGGCCCAGGCTCTGGGGGTGAAGACCCCTACTCCCACCCCAAGTCTGGCCTGTCCATACACCTCCCCAGTATCTCTGGGCCCCACAAAGTTTCTCTGGCTCAGCACACAGCCCCAGCCAGCCTTGCACCCCTCTCATCCTGCTGTGATCCCAGGTCTCTCGACTTCCGGCTTTCTTACCAGCTCCATGACCTCCTTCTGGCTCCTACAGCCTGCTGTTCTATGGACAGCTTCCCAAACCCAGTCTCCACAAGCTGAAATGTTCACTACTGAGCAGGCTACACGAGGCCTGTAGCAGTCCAGGTGCTCCCCCTCTCTAGCCAGGCCCTGTAACCCACTGCCTTCCTTGAACCCCAGCCCCACCCTGCTCCCTTTCAGTGTCTGGGACCTCCCTTGCAAGGAGAGCTGCGCCTGGAACTAGTTCCTCTCCGGGTGCACTGTCCCCTCCCACGGGCCCCAGCTCGGACGTTCTGTGCTCCCAGCACTGGCCTGGCGCACAGTAGGACCACAGAAGGCTCCAGGGCCGAGACCACTGGGGCATTCACAGACAACCTTGTATAAGAACACAGGGTGCCGGGGCGCCTGGGTGGCTCAGTTGGTTAAGCAACTGCCTTTGGCTCAGGTCATGATCCCCAGCTCCTGGGATCAAGTCCCGCAATCGGGGTCCCTGCTCAGCAGGGGAGTCTGCTTCTCTCCCTCCCCATACTCTCTCACTCTCTCTCTTTCAAATAAATAAAATCTTAAAAAAAAATTAAAAAAAAAAAAAAAGGAACACGATGCAAAGGAGCTGAATGTGCAGGGCATGCCAGTATGGGGGCTCATGGCGTGGTAGAGCCCCCTCTGAGCAATGGTGGGGGCAGGCTGGAGCTCACCCTCACTTGGCAGTGTCCTCCCACAGCATCCCCCACCCCAGGTCGGACCCCTGGTACGTACCCGGAGCATCTGGTGGGGCTCCTAGGGGGCTGGGCATGTGGTCTGGCAACCGGGCCCGGTGTCTGTCCTCAGTTGCTCTCTCCTTGTCTTTGTGCTTCTTGGACTTCTTCTTGGATTTGCTGTGTGATGAGCCACCATGGGGCCTGCTGGGCTGGGCACAGTCCGTCAGCAGGGGCAAGCTGAGGCACGTAGTTGGGGCTGGGGTGGCCACTTCCCCATGCTCGCAGTCCCGGCCACTGTGGCCCAGGTCATTGCTGACGTCAGCCAGAGGGTCATGGATCCTCGGGGGCTCCAACCGCGGGGGCAGGTGGGCATCTGTGCCAGCTAGTGGGCCCGGAGTGGGCAGCAGGGCCTCACGGCCATGGGTTGCACTCAGCTTCCCATTGACGGCAGGCTGAGCTCTCTGGGTAAAATGGGATATCCTGGTTTTCTTGCTGACCAGGGAGTCGGTGAAATCAGGAGGCTGTGATCGTTTCTGCAATGGGAGGGAAATAATTTTAAAAGGGAGACTGTCTGGAGCCACTGGTGTCTCCTGAGAAGTGGCTGCGGGGCAACAGGCCCTGAGCTCATGAGGCCCTAGGAAACCCAGTGCCTGACTGCAAGGCCCAGTCTGGCCACAAGGGGGCACCCAGAAGAGCCAGGCCCCTGCTAACCTAGGCTCAGCCCACCCTGAGGACAGAGCCCAGGAAGGGCAGCAATCGGCGGAACTGGCCAGCTGAGCACTCAAGAAGGGCCACCTCCAGGGACTGGTCTGAAACGTCGTAGCATTCAGCATCATCCCTAGATGATGGGGATGCTGACAGAACCAAGTCTGAAGGACACACGGCAGCCCCACAGGCTGGGACGCTCCCCACCCCCCACCAGACCCAGAACTACTTGGATCCCCAAGGGACACCCTGTGACATGGTGCAGGCCACACCCCACTTCACAAGCGAGAAGCCTGAGGCATGTGAGGCGAGGCCAGACCATGGGAAATGGCTAGAGAGCAAGATGGTAGGTGGCAGGCCCACCATCAGGGGGAAACAGGGTAAGGAGGCTGCCAGCCCTCTACTTTGGCCCAAAGCCAGGGCAGGCACAGACCTGATCTCTCCACAAGGAGGATTCAGGGCCTTGGACATGGGCTGGGAGCCTCCAGGGCAGAGGAGAGAAGGGGGGTAAATAAGGGACTTGCTACGAGGGGTTCACGAGCCAGGTGGGGACACCTGAGCGCCCGTCCTGACTACTGACTAAATCGGCAATGGCCACCACTCACAGGGCCCTGTGCCTGCAGCCAGCCCGCCTGATTTTACGGAAACTTCATGTCAGCCCTGGGAGGCAAGTGCACCTGCCACGCCTGCTGTACACAGAGCACGGGGCTCAGGGCAGTCTGGGAGCCCGCCCTCACTTGGACACACCACCCACAAGCATTAGAGGGAACCGCACTGAGGGCCCAAGCCCAGGTCCCCAGTCTGGGGAAAGCCCGGCAGTTGCTCACTCACTGAAGAAAATACCTGGCTCTGAACCAAGGGCCCCATGGGCTGCCCAAACACTGAGGTCAGGCCTGGCCCACTGGCCCCTAGCCCGCCCTTCTCCCTCACCATGGCTGCCACCGCAGCCTCCGCACACTGTCACATCCTCGCCCACCGCTCCTACCTGAGGGGGTGAGGCCGAGCTTCCACGTTCCCTGGGAGGACTGGCGGCAGCAGGGTCTCCAGGGAGGCCCACCGCACTCTGTGGCTGGCAGAGCTTCCTACGAAGGAGAGGTAGGGTAGCTGTACAGCCCGACAACCTGTGGGGCATGTCTAGGCCCACCTGCCTTCCCACTGACACCACACTGTCCCGCCTACACCCAGTGATTCAGGGTGGGCCCTGCCATCCTGATGAACCAGAACAGGGTCGAGTACACTGGGTACCTCAGGGCAGGCAGAGAGCAGCCCAAACACATCCCAGCCCAGGCTCATCCACAGCCTGAAGGACTGCCCACTTGGTGTCCCGTGTGCCCAGAGAAAGCTCAGTGGACCACCCACTCATCCAGACACCCATTACTGTGGAAACCAGAAACCCAAGTGAAATTGACTGGATATTCAAGCTTTGTGCTGTGTCCCTGTGGGAGCTGGGTACACTGGGGCACTGACCCCTCCTTTTAAAAACAATCATTCAGGGGCGCCTGGGTGGCTCAGTCGTTAAGTGTCTGCCTTCGGCTCAGGTCATGATCCCAGGGTCCTGGGATCGAGCCCCGCATCGGGCTCCCTGCTCAGCGGGAAGCCTGCTGCTCCCTCTCCCACTCCCCCTGCTTGTGTCCCTGCTCTCGCTGTCTCTCTCTGTCAAATAAATAAAATCTTAAAAAAAACAAAAGCAAAAACAATCATTAATCCTAATAATGCTTACTGCAGGAACTTTATGCTGAAGGGGACTGAGATGCCCTAGCATGACAGGAAGGCCTCCTGGATTCAGGACCGACCTTCCTAGGAGCCAACATGACAATATCTCCTCAAGGACAACAGGGGCAGCCACCAGCCTACCAGTACCTGAGCGTAACGATGCAGCCAGGGATGAGGGAAGAGACACCCCAACACTCAGAAGGGCAAATGGAGGCCCCACTAGCGACCCTGGCTTGAGGGCCCTCTCTGATCCCCCTCTCATTCCCAGAGGCTGCAAGTCTCACGGGAACCCAGCAGCCAGCCCGGTGCCAAGTGTGGTGCCGCGGGCCCTCTGTGTGCTGCCAGGGTCTGGGGCTACAGGGAACGCATCTGCACTGCTCTTAACCAGTGACGAGCCGAGCAGGCCTCCTTAACAGACAACCACATGACAGACCGCTGCTCCGGCCCCTCCGTGGTGGCCCCAAATGTGAGAAGAGCCCCAGGAAAAGTGCCTGCAACGTGCAAGCACTCACAGGGGCCACGCAGTTCCCATGGCCAAGACAGGTACCTCAAATTTTCTGTCCAGCCACATGGAAGCAACCACAGGCATTGACATCTGCTCTCTTTCCAGCCTCCACTGAACAGGCATGAAGAAGAAAGGGAAAAGAGAGGAGCACGGTCCAACGCTGGAAGCGGAAGCGGTGACTATCTCATAGGGTCCAAGAAAATGGGGCCCCAAGCCATAGTACCCCACGGGCATGGGCTCAGACTCTCAGAGACCTCAGAGAAGGGGCTCCTGCAGGGCTGTCCCCGCTCTGCTCTGGGGCTGTGGGGAAGGAGCCCAGCCTTCTCTACGAAGCCAGGAGGCTGCTCAAGACACACCTGGACAATGGGATGGACAGAGGTGTGGCCTCAGGAGACTGAGGAAACAGAGGGGTCCATGGGGGCGGGTTTCAGAGAAACCGAGGCAGCCCTCCTGAGGAAACGGAGCCACTCAGGAAAGCCTTGAAGGGCTGCACCTAGGCCTCCAGGTAACAAATGTCAGAGTCCAAAAGAGACAAGAGAATGCATTTGAAAGGGAAGAGAGACTCTATAAGCAGATGAAAACTTTCAATCCACAACAGAAACACCAGCCTTAATATCCACAGAAGACAAAGGACTTGAATAGACATTTCTCCAAAGATGATACACAAATGGCCAATAAGCACATGAAAAAGTACTCAACATTATTAGTCATCAGGAAAATGCAAACCAAAACCACAATGAGGTATTTACCTCACACCCGCTAAGAGGGCTAGCATAAAACAAAACAAGAATGGAAAATAACAACTATTGGTGAGAAAGTGGGGAAACTAGAAAACCTTTTTGTGTGTTGCTGGGAGGGGAAATATAAAATGGTGGAGCTGTTGTGGAAAAAAGTTTGGCAGTTTTCCAAAAACCTCAACTCCACTTCTCCTTCTATACTTGAGAGAACTGAGAATCTATGTCCATACAAATCCTTGTACACAAATGTTCACAGGAGCACTAGCCACAATCACCAAAAGGTGGAAACGACCATCAACAGGTAAGTGGATGAACAAACGTGGTGTATATCCACACACAACAGATTACTGAGCCACAAAAACGAAGCTCTGATAACGTTACAACCTACATGAACCTTAACCGTACACTGTACACTGAGTGAGAGAAGCAAGTCACCAAAGACCACATGTTGTAAGAGCCCGCTGATACGAAACGTCCAGAACAGGGAAATCCACAGAGACAGAAAGATGACTGGTTGCCGGGGGGGAATGGGAGTATCCGCTAACGCGGGGTTCCATTTTGGGGTACACGTTCTGGAACTAGTAGAGGCAGCAGCTGTACAACACTGTGAATATAATTAATTAACACCCCTGAATTTTGAGAAAGAAGAACAAGTCGGGAGGCATCACAATCCCAGATTTCAAGATACACTATAAAGCCATAATAGTCAACACAGTATCATATTGGCACAAAAAACAGACACAAGGGGAGTGAGCACAGGGCCAGGCACGGCTGCCGAGGCCGCATTGTGCACTGGAACACCTGAGGCAGGACGGGCCCCAGCAGCTACACACACGGAGAACAGAAACACTGAGGAGGAATCAAAATGATGCTGTAAGTGGGTGTCCATGTAGAGCAGAGCCTCAGGGGCCCAGGCCAACCTGGAAGCATTAGCGTGCTTAACTCCGGTATGAATTCTGAACAAGCTGTAGGAAAAGGAGGCGGCCCAACTTCTGGGGTGATACTTGTCCCCACAGGCAGAAATACCCCAAGGCCCTATTTTTCCTTCTTGCTTCGAGGCTTCAAGAACCGCTGTAAATGGGGTTTTCTTCAGGGAGGGAACAACCTAAATTGAAGAAAAAAAAACTGGACAGACGGGTGGCTGGGGTAATCTTCAGTGTGGTTGCAGGCATCGAGGATGCTGACCCTGACCTTTGCACACCAACCGGCTCGAGGTTCCAAGGACAGTAAGTGCGGCTGGTAACAAGCAGTTTCTGGCGCAGCTGATCCCTAAGCTGGCCCGTGCAGACAGAGAGAGGAACACCATGCTTGCCCAGGAGAAGGCCGAGTGCCTTGGGTTCACACGAGTCCTGGCAGCTCACTCAGCGGAGCAGGGATTAATATGAGCCAGGAATTACACAAAGCTCCAGAGCCGTGGGCGCCTGGGTGGTTCAGTCGTTAAGCATCTGCCTTCGGCTCAGGTCATGATCCCAGGGTCCTGGGATCAAGCCCTGCATTGGGTTCCTGCTCCACAGGAAGCCTGCTTCTCCCTCTCCCACTCCCCCTGCTTGTGTTCTCTCTCTCGCTGTGTCGGTGTGTCTCTCTCTGTCAAATAAATAAATAAAATCTTAAAAAAAAAAAAAAAGCTCCAGAGCCAAGGATTCCTACCGACCCCACCTACACACAAACACATAAGGCTACCTGCTCTTGGCCAAGTCCCTTCTGGAGAGCTCTGTGTGGCCAAGGCCCTTGGGGTCTGAGAACAGCAGCTACCTAACAAGAGGCTCTGAAGGGAGGGAGGCCAGGAACAGCCTTACAGTGCCCTTCGTGTGTCCCTCGTCACCTCAAAGCACTTGGTTGGGCAAATTTGACCATTTCAGCACCAGACTCTGACCAAAAATGTTTGATGGATGAAAACACCTGTAGGTGACAGTACCAACCCAACATATTTAGCTAGGGGGAACAGGAGACGCCAGAGAGGGGATGGGGGTAGGAGTGGTCTTCTACTGAGAACAGCTCCTCAGCCTCCCCAAGACCTTTGGACAGCCAGACCAGTGACCCCAGGCTGGCTCAGAAGCAGGTACTGGCTTGGGGAGGAGTGTCCTGCAGGGCTGAGGAGAAACTCTGGGTTCACCTAGAATAGCCCCAAGTCTACATGCAATTACTGCTTTAAACAGCTGAACTTAAAAAAAAAAAAAAAAAACAACCAACCTCATAAATAACTCAAGTCCCTGAGAAATCATTTAAAGACTAATTAGTGTATCAGCCTGCTCTGAACGGTGATTCACAGCCTGTGCTCCCAAGTCAGGCATCAGTTGAGAAGGAAATCATTAATTGCTCACCTGAGCCAGGCAGGGGCCTACTTAACCACTCCTCCCCTGAGCCACCAAGGCCACTCCTGACCTCAGGTCCCAATTAATCTGAGAGGGAATGTGTTTAATTAATGCTACTTAATCACGCCTGTGGGGAGTTTTATTTTGCTTTGTTTCTCTGCTTCAAGTTCCTGAGAGGTTCTTTTTAAGAAGGAGGTGGCCTGTAGCCGAAGCCTGTGGGGATGCGCAGGTTTTGGAAGGGAGCTTGATGGGAAAGGAAGTGTGGAACAAGCTGGGCTGACTGAATACTTCCATCTGGGCATTCTGGTGTTCGGGTGGGTGACTTGCACCCTCCACTCCCTTCAACAGGAGCTGACCTTTCCCCCAGTAGGAGGCCACAGTGGGCTGGCTCGGCTCTGTGGCGTCCCAGGTAGTGGGAAAGACTGCTAGAGAGCCTCCACAGATCCTTCCATCCTGCTCAAGGGCCCCGTGGCCTTTGGGACCACACTAGGTCATCCCGGCATCCTCAGGATGACATCTGCCCCAGAACCAGGGTGCGGGGACATGCCCAGGCATGGGAGGCAGCATTACCGGACAAGCATCCGCTTCAACAGCTGCTGGTCCCCTTCCGAGTAGCCAGGCCAGTCCTTCTGCACATCCTTATACACACAGTCCTTCAATGTGCATGTGCCATCCTTGGCATTCACATTGGCCACCTGTAAGACAGAGACAGGATCAGGATGCCTGGGTGGCTCAGTCAGTTAAGCGGCTGCCTTCGGCTCAGGTCATGATCCCAGGGTCCTGGGATCAAGCCCTCCATGGGGCTCCCTGCTCAGTGGGGAGTCTGCTTCTCACTCTCTGCCCCTCTCTCTTCTTGTGCTCTCTCTGACAAAAAAAAAAAAAAAAGAGAGAGAGAGAGAGACAGGGTTATCTTGCCAGAAGCCCCAGGAGAGGCAGAAGTTACTGAAAGCATTTGATGGAGGGTGGGGGGCAGAGACAGGAAAGAGGACAGCACCCCCACCATCCCCTGTACACGGGGAGCAGCAAGCCTTGGGATGCAAAAGTATCAGAACACCAGGTCCGGACGCACATGTCTTATAGCTGCTGGAAGACAGGTTGGCTCTAAAGCAAGGGGGGCTGCCTTTTTTTTACACAGGACCCCTTCACCAGCCTCCCCTGTTATGGACTGAATGTTTTTGTCTTACCAAAATTCATATTAAATCTCAACACCCAAAATGATGGTATTAGGAGGCAGACCTTTGGGAGGTGATTAGGTCATCAGGGTGGAGCCCTCATGAATGTGAACAGTGTCCCTCTACGAGAGACTCCAGAAGGCTCCCTCCCCACCCCTGCCATGTGATAACCCAGTGAGAAGACAGTCTGTGAACCGGGAAGGGGGCCCTCACCAAACACCCAGTCTGCTGGCGCCTTGATCTTGGACTTCCCAGCCTCCAGAACCGTGAGAAGTAAACATCTGTTGTTTATAAGCCACCCAGTTTGTTATTCTGGTACAGCAGCCTGGAGAGACTGACACCCCCTCTTGGATACGCACTTCTGTGGCAGAGATGGTGGCGGGTGGGGGAGCCAGGGCCTCCAGGGGCCAGGCTACGTCCACCTTCCCCGCAACCAGCTAGCCCTGCCCCACTTTGTTGGCCGCGGAGAGCTGGTGCGGCAGCTGATGTTTTTCACTATCACAGGCTTCTAAGAGGACTCCAGGTCACGAGGGTTTCCTCAGGGAGCATTTTTTAATGGCTAAGTAATATTCCACCAAGCATGTGCACTGTGATTTACTCAAAGATTTCTCCTTTGTTGGATGCTGATGCCACTTCCAGTTTCTCTGTAGCATAAACAGACACCGCTGTGTGCAGGTTTTTCCACGCTGGTGATGGCTTCCTTCGGCCAGCTTCCCAGAAGTGGGATTAGTGGGTCAAAGGCTCTGAACATTTTTATGGCTCTTGATGCGTTTTGTTAAAATGCTCTCCAGAAGAGCCACCCACCCGTCAACACTCCCACCCACAGAGGATGAGCCTCCGGGTTTCTCTGAGGCCCCGCCAGCACCGGAGACAGATGCTTTAAATCTTTGCCTTGGATGTTTTCACAGAAGGAAGAGAGAAGGTGCCTTTGAAGAGTGCGGTTTCATCTGTGCTGTTCATCGGAATCCCTGATCACTTGCGGGAGGCTGGAAATGACGAGCCTGTGCAAGGCCCAGCCCACAGAATCCCCTGAGACCTTCCCCTTCCTCAAGCTGCTGGGGTCCTGCTACTACCCACAGCTGCCGGGGACGACGCGCTGGGTAGTAAATACAGAAGCACAAAGCAGATGGGGCCATTCAGAAGAAATCAGAGTAGACATGGGGAGGATGTTCTGCCCACAGACACCAGATAAGCTGCCCCACAGGAGGCTGCTGAATCCAAATCAACCAGAGAAGCCAGAGCCCAGCACGGTGCCTCTCTGATCCTGGGAAAGGGCTTGGGAGCAACGACAGCATCTCAGAGGTTAAAAAAGCAGGCACCCCGGGCAGAACAACATCAGTACCGACAGATCCCTAGCTCTTCGGAAAACCGAGGCTGGTGTTCTGGCCACATTTGAGGATTGCTCAGAGGATAAATCTCAGGTGTAACTGTGTGTTCTGTCAGCCAAGTTTCACATTCTGCATTTGAGGGGCTCATGTGCTTCTTCTTTCTTCTGGGCACAAACGGCAAGAGAGGAAGGTGGGAGCAAGGGCATTTCCAAGAATGCCACAGTAGGGGTTGATGGCCACCTAACTGGACAGCAGTGTGGGCTGCAGCACGTCCAAGGGCAGGCCTGTGTCTTCAGTCCTGGCTTACATCTAAAGACCCGGCATTTTGCCAGCCCTGCCTCATTCTCTCCGAGTTCCAGCCTGGGGGGAGGGCCTCCACTGTGCTTCCCCCGAGTTCCCAAGGGTAAGGCTGACACCTGCGACTTTCCAAGGAAACAAACCCCCCAGGAACATCATTCCTGGTTCTGGAGCTTTCTGGATGCTTTGGCAAGCCCCTCTGCCAAAGAAAACTTCTGAGCCATGTAGCTACATAGCTATCTTCTAATAGGCCTTGAGCCAACTCATATGCTCAAGAGGGAGAAACTGTGCAGCTTGGTTCTCACCTGTACAACCTCTGAGTGGGGCACAGTGCCTCAAGAGGCCAAATCCGGGGGCGCCTGGGTGGCTCAGCTGGTCAGGCGTCCGGATCTTGATTTCGTCATGATCTCAGGGTCGTAAGATTGAGCCCCATGTCGGGCTCCATGCCGGGTGCGGAGCCTGCTTAGAATTCTCTCTCTCCCTCTGCCCCCCTCCCCCCTGCTAGCACACACACTCTTTAAAAAAAAAAAAGGAGGCCATATCCACACAGTTTCCTGGCAAATGGAGCCCCCAAGGCCAGGGTCCCAGCGAGATGAGGGGCAGCGAACCCCGTGGCTCATCCTCAGATACAACTACTGATTATCTCAGCATGTGAGTTTTGCACTGTCTGCGCGCCCAGAGCATCTGAGGCAGGATGCAAGAGGGGCAAGTGAGCTGGTGGACAGAACCCGTAGAGGTGTGACCACACCTCCTCCGCAGGATGGGACTGTCCACTGCGAGCCGTGTGAACCTCGCGGCAGGGCTCCGAGGTATCTGCATGGCCCAGCTGATGTGGCGAAGCCAGAACAAGCTGTTCAGCTTCCCAGGGCTCCTCAAGCTCCCTCCATGGGCTTTGGGAGACAGGGAAGGGCCTAGGGAAAGCAGCCAGGCCCACAGCTCTTGCTCTGAAGCCTGAGCTGTTCTGTAACAGCAGGCTCCATCTGCAGACGTCCCATTCCCTCCAGCTCAGCCTTCCACCCCTCAAGAGGTGCTGCTGGCAAGCTGCGGCCGCACGTGCCAGCCCGAGGGTCCACAAGTGAAGGGGCCATGGCTGGTGAGTGGCAGGGAAGCCCCCCGACTGAGGAGCCTGAGCTCTTGTTAACTCACATCTGTGGTTACCCAGGCTTCTCTTGATTCTAAAATCATCAGGCGACTAAAGTCTAGGATCCTCTGTGCTGTGCCTGCTGCCTGTTAGCAGATGGTGTGGACAAGGGTGCTGACCTCACTCTAAGCCATCCTCATTGCCACTGGACAGCAAGCACCACGACAAGGGACATGTCCGTGACAGCCCTAAGCATGTCCTAACCCAGGAGGCCGAGGCTCTGAGGCAGGCTGAGAATCTTGGAAGAGACCTCGGGAAGGGCCCTTTCCAGGCTGCCCTGTGTCCAGACCCTGTGCAGAGGCCACCTGAGGCTGACTGGACCCTCAACCTGGCCCCGGGCAAGCACGAACCTGCTGGAGGAGGCCATCCAGCGCATCCTTGTCCGCCTGGGCCAGGCCGTCCTTCTGTAGCCGCAGCAACAGCTCGGCCTTCCGGTAGGGCCTCAGTGCCAGGAGGTGCAGCACCCGGTCACGGAAAGGCCTCTGAGACACCCCACTGCCCCCGCTAATGCCACCAACACTGCTCTTCTTGATGGCACTCGCCAGGTTGATGGGGGTCGCCCGCTTCCGGGAGGGCACAGCGTCCGTGGCCCCCGGGGCTGGTTTCCGAAACTGAACCTTCTTGCCTGCAACAAGAGCCAAGGCATTAGGGATGTGAGGGGGTGGGGGGCCTCTGTGCCCCTCTGCCTGGGGCTGATGCCAAGTTCTGAGCGAGTGCGTGGATGCCCACTGATGGCCACCAGCCCGAGGGGAAGGCAGTTTCAAGCCCTGTCCAGCCCAGCCAGCTCGGTGGGGACCCAGGACAGCTGAGAGCACCACCTGCTGACCACACACAGCTCATCAGGCACTTGCAGGGCCCCCAGTGTCAGAAGCAGGAGCTGCAGGAAACAACGGACTTCATCACGGGCAGCCCGACCACTGCAGGGAGAGGGGGCTGATGGCAAAAAGAGTGGGGGTTCCTGAATGGCCAGAGGGAGATGCCCCCAGAGCCTACACATCACAGCACTGTGCTGGCCCCACAGGATCCCCCATTCTCTTTTATGAAAAAGGAGTGAACAAAGGCATCAGGCTGCTTGGGCACCTTCTCTGGAGACCCCAGGGTAGGAGCAGCTCCCCAGATGCAACCCTGCTGTGCGCTTCTTGGGCAGACATGGCTGTGCTCAGAGTCCCAGGGGCAGCAGCCTGATCCCCTACCCTTCTAGAGCAAACAGACTCCAGCTCTGCTCTGGAGGGAGGGGCCTCCACTCAGAAACCGTTAACTAACCCCTGGATAGCAGCACTGCCACTGAGGGAACACGCATGGCCAACGGAGGACAGCGCATGCTTCATGACCTTGGGCCGGAAAGCTCTCTATGAGGATGTTTTTTGCTCTCATCCCTTAAATCTCATTTGTCAAATTAACACAGGAGGAAGTGCTGTCAGAATCCTCAGGTCCCCAGAGGACCCAGCTGATGGGCCAACGCAGGGTCAGGGAGAGGCCTGACACAGTGGGACAAGCATGTCTGTCTTCAGAGGCCAGGTGACAAGTGCTTCCACCAGAACCAAAACCACTGCAAAACTCTTGCTGTACCCAAAGTGGCAGAAGCCACATTTCTGACCAAGTTTTAGGCCAAAGGACCAGAAATTTACCGAGATGTATACGTATGTCCACATCTGCAGCTCGAGGTGAGAGCAGGCAGTGGAAGCATTTTTGGATTTTGGCGACTGCTCTCGTGTGGCTGTCTCCAGCAGCGGCCACAGCCCAGAGCACAGGCTCCCTCAGCACGCACGGCCACGTCCACCCAGACACAGCGGTCACTGGTGACACAGACTCCTGCACGGACATCTGGGGTTTCATTCAGAGTCAACCCCACTGCCAAGCCAGTGAAATCATGTGCTCCTTTGGGGGGCTTTGAAATCCTCCTACCTTTTCTTAAAAAAGAAAAAATCCCAAAAGCCACCAAGGTCCTGGTTTGCTGTGAGCCATTTTGAGCCTCCCTTAGGCTTAACACCCTTCCCCCTGGCCTTGAATCCTCATGACTCTTGAATTTGTCTGGACCTAGATGCTGGGAAAACTAAAGCAGGAATGGAGCTTCCTACAAGTAAACACTTTTCATGCTGTTGGTGTCTCAACTTCACCAAAACTGTTTCCAAGCAGATGATATGCCGCCAGGGCCTTCTCATCCAGCAGGGAGTCAACACATTTCCTTCCTAGGTGCGACTCGACGGTCCCTCATTGGCCCCAACCCAGCAGCAGGCCACTTGCCACAGGGTAGGTCTCGCCATCTGCACCTTGCCACTGGCCATGTCAGTCTTGGGGAAGAGCCGGCCAGGCAGGTGAGGGCAGGGGTGGCTGCTGGAGGACAGACCGCAGCCCTGCTGTCGAAGAGCGGGTCTATCTCTCTGATGGGTAGAGATCCCCGAGGCGAGAGCCTGGGAGAGGGGCCCGTGGATTTGGAATTCCTAGAGTTCTTGGGGCTCTTATTCAAACTGGGCAATCAAAGATGCCACAGCCCCCAGCTGACTCAGCCAATGCAACAGGACCTTCCTTTCTGACCCAACAACGACTTGGCTCACCCTGCTTGGGGCCACACCTGTCAACCCATCACTCCAGCTCCTGGCCAGGACAGGTCCTGAGTCTCTCCTGCTCCCCAACCCCACAGGTGCCCAGCAGGCATGAGCCCCCCGACAGGTGGAGTCCCAGGCCTCTTCCTCACCCAGGTAGCGGCCTCCAGCCTTGATGACAATGGCACCACGGCTCCGTGTCTCCTCCTCGGCCTGTGCCATGCTCTGCCGTGCTTTCTGGTAGGAGTCGTCGGTGGCACACACTGTGATTTTGTCCTGGATGCTGCCCAGGCAGTCCAGGTGAACATCCCCATGGCTGCAAGATAAGGGGCCAGGAGCCAAGGTGAACTGCGGGGATGACAAGGAGAGACAGTCTAGGAGCCCATGCCCCCCGCCCCAACAATCCCCAGTTGGGAAATGGGGTCGGTGATAACTTGAGCAGCATGGTTTCTACATGGCACATCTTATCTGGAAGAAACAAGGCAACCTAGGCCCCTGAGCAGAGGCAGCAGGCCAGGATCTGCACCCATGCCCCGCACACACTGAAAGCAGCAGCAAGGCTCATGTAAAGGAAGGAAGGAGGCACTGGGGCAGCCTGGCTGGCTTAGTCTGTAGAGCGTGCGGCTCTCAATCTTGTGGTCGTGAGTTCAAGGCCCATATTGGGTGTAGAGATTACTTAAATAAACAAACTTAAAAAAAAGAAACAAAGAAAAAGAAGAAGAAAAAGAAGAACGGGGCACTGGGCCCAGGTAGGACCTCACCTGGAGACATATTGCTGGATGCAGTCGAAGCTGCCCTGGGGGCTGTCACGGCCAATGTTGGAGAGGTAGAAGGAGAATGTCCGTGCCTCTGTGGGGCAGTCAGGCTGGGGGATGGAGATGTGCTGTGTAGAGAACGGGAGACATCACTGAGAGGTCCACAACACAGGGGTGTGGGGGCAGGCACCATGGGATGGCCCATCCATTGGACCTCAGACCATCCCCACAACTTGACACAATGAGAATGTGCTAGCACTTTCTAAGCAGTGATGGCATCTCGGTCTGAGGAGCATAGAGCACTTAACGTACACCCGGAGACAGGGATCCCACCTTGATCTGGGTCACGACCCAGTTTCCTGCCCAGCAAATGGGGCAGATCTGGCCTGGGACATGCGTGAAGATGAAATGAGACAAGATGGGCATCGGGAGCCATCAGGGCACACTGAGCAGCCAAGATACTCCAACCCTTGCTCCCCTGTGGGATACAAACTCCACCTAAATGTCCACTCACTGCCCTGCAGGCCCTGAGGGGCTCACAGATGGCCAGCACTCACCTCAACAAACCATGACACGGTTAAATGTGACACAGGATGAATGTCTTGGCTAATGTAACCCTGACTTTGGGCAGTGCCTCTGCAGAAGGGATGGACAGCCTGGCTGGCAGACAGACAGACAGCAATGGTCCCAGCCAAGGTATAGGGCTCAGCGTAGGTGGGACAGCCTTGTACCCAGAGGCCACTGCAGGATTCCAGACCAACCCTCCCTAGTTTGAGGGAGTTGGTAGGAAGACCCCATGCTCTGGTTGCTGGCCCATAGTCGGGGTGCAGGATGGGCCTCCAGAACCCTCTGTCACCCTGTGGTGGCCCCTCATAAAGTAATCGCTGGGTTTTGGGTGCAGGAGCTCATCACAGCTGACAGACACACAAGAGGGGCACAAGTGGTAAATGGAGATTAAGGGGATGGGCAGGCCACATTCCGGCCTCATCCCCAGGCTATCAAACCACCTCAGTACGCCCAAGCCCTGTTTCCTCTCCAATGAGGTGAGCTACCAACAACCCTCATCAGCACCAGATCAAACATGGCCCAGCTGAATTCCACCCCTGCCCCGCTATCACGAGTAAATAAGGGCAGTTCAGCCTGTCTGAGACTGAGAACACAGTGGCTCGGGCCACAAGAAAGGATGCTGCTCCTGACCCAGCTTCACGGCCTCCCTGCCCCGCCCCTCAGGCTGGTGCATGGACCCATAGGGAACCTGCATGTCTACCTGGCCTAGAGTTGGCCCCCAAACACTGAGTGACCTGCCCAGCATATGGTCAGTCCCTGCCCCTAGGAGAGGCCCGGATATACCCAGTGAGAGCCAACCTGGCTCAGAGTGGCTCCCAGACATGGCAGCTGAGCCCTGTCCTGTCTGCACACACCTCCTTTCCAACACTTGTGGCCACCCTGTGCTGTCCCCTCATGCCCCCCCACTTTTCTTTTTTAAGATCTTATTTATTTGACAGAGAGAGAGAGCGAGCACAAGTAGGCAGAGTGGGAGGCAGAGGGAGAGGGAGAAGCAGGCTCCCCACTGAGCAGGGAGCCCGATGTGGGGCTCGATCCCAGGGACCATGACCTGAGCCGAAGGCAGCAGCTTAACCGGCTGAGCCACCCAGGCGCCCCACACTCATCCCTTCTTGGATGTGATTTTTTGTTCTCCATTATAGAAGTAGCTGGAAACACGCTGCCCAGATGCCAAGGCTCGGGCTGCTGAGGGTCACTGCAGGAGATGCATCCGAAGCTAGATACATACTGACGCAGCAGCCCAGAATGCAGCAGGAAGCTCATGCACCACAAAATCAGCAAATCAAAAGCAGCTTCCTGCAGAGCCTGACACCCGCTGCCGTCGGGGTGGGGGTGGGGGCGGGGGTGGGGGCTTTCTCCACCCCATCCTTGAACCTCTCCCTCATCCCATCCTGGCTCTGATGGAGATGTGCCTCCCCTCCCCCCAGGTGGCATTTTCCACCTCGGTCTGCTCAGAGGACAGTGACTGGGCTGTCACCCAAGAGAAGGGAAGTCAGGTCTGAGTCCCAAAGCAACTGGGCTTTTCTCTGGATGGGGCCTGTGGGGGACCCTGCACTGTAACCCTTTTACCCCATCTAAACCTTTTCTACACAGGTGCGTATGTCCACTTTCAAAATTTATTCTGGAAGTGGGGGTCCCAGCACAGAGCCCAGAAGTGGGTTTGTGTAGCTACTGGAGCCAGAGGATGGTGAGGAACCCTGAGCTTGAAACTAATGCACAGGAGCACTAAATGCTGCTTGTGACAGGGGAGGACACACACAGAGGTCTCCGGTATCCTTCAGGACAAAGTGGGGAGCACAGGAGTTGGGGAGGGAGGGAAGTAGAGGGGAGGTTTGTGGGGAGCCTGGTGTGGCCCATTCTCTCAGTCCCGGCTCCTGGAATCCTCCTGTTAGCAGGCTGCTTTGCCGCTCCCAAACGACGCTGGTTATTGGTTACCAGTCACTGGGAACCAGGCAGGGAAATCAGCCAGCTGGGCATGAACAGCCCAGGAACGCATGGCTTTCTCTGGGTCAAGTGAAGAGCTTGGCACATGTTCTAGGATGTGGCCCGAAACTCAGCCCTGGTCAGCCAGAGCATGTGCCTTCTGGACCAAGTCTCAGCTGTCCCACGGGGGCCACCATGTGGCCCTCAGCTGGCCTGAGCACGTAGGTTTGGGTGTGTCTGATGACAGCCCTGACTCCGGGTTAGGTCATTATAAACCTAATTGAGCGTCTGTGTGCGCAGAGCTGGAGCAGCAAACAGGTTTGTCCTTCCTGGGTGGCCCTGAGTGCCTCTGAGGCCTGCGAGGGGGCACAGGCTCCTGCCAGAGCCTTATCCTTTGAAATCTGTCCCAAGCCGGGCCTGCCTGCCCCCCTCCTCCCCAGGTCTGTGGGGCCGCGTGTGTGCAGCGTAGGTGGGGGCTGCGAAAAGACACAGCAAGTCCTGGGGGCAAAAACTGGTGGGGAAAGCACTTGATATTCCATTCAGGTAAGAATGAGGTCAACGGGCACGTACAGGAACCCAAACGTCAACTGACCAGGGTCTTCTCTCTGACCAGAAGAGTTTTCAGGCAACACTTGTTTTCTTAGTTATTGTCACTTCCTGGGGAAGCTTCAGAATAAAACATATTCTGGGTACAGAGAACTACCACTGCCGAACTTGACTTCCGAGAGAAAGCACCCTCTGCCGCCCTGGGGCACTCTCTCAACCCCAGGCTCAGGGCGCACGCTAAGCACTTGCCCGCGCTCCAGGCGCCGTTCTCATGCTCTCACGCACCCAGCAAGCTCAGGAGAGGGAGTGCACAGCCCCCGCACTCTGGGCAACCCTGGCACACAGTTGGCTCCCAACTCCAAAACCCCCCATTTTAGAAAGTTTTTAGACTGTTTCCAAATTGTCCCTGTTACAAATGACGCAGCAATAAGCAGCTAGTGGTTCAATCTTGTGTATGCCCTTAACTGCTCCCGCAGAGACGGCTCCTAGACACACAGACAGAAACTGGTCAAACGCCTCTAACCAGAACTGCCAAACCTCAGTCTAGAAAGTGCAGTTCAGGCCCCTGGCGTAGCACAGGGAAATGCCGAGACCCTTAACAGCCTTGGATACCAACCCTACTTCTCTTTTTTCATCAACTGAAGAGTTTCAGGGTGGGGCTGGTCAGGTGGGGGTTTCTCTTCCCCTCTGGAGGCTGACTTTTCACCAGCTGTCAGAGGTTAACAACTTAGAAGTGACCCCCAGACAGCAGAGGGGCCCAGGTCAGCCAGCCCAGTGTTCGACAGAAGGCAGAGAATGCAAACACAAACATGTACTTGGCAAACGAAACAAAGATGAACATCTTGCTCTGGCACGTGACCCCCCAGAGGCCCAACATGCTACCAGTGGGCCAGGTTCTCTGGGCACCCTGGCAAATGCCGTTGGTCATGCCAAGGAAGCAGCCAACACCAGGGCCCGGCTGCACACCACAACCTCCTTGGGCAGGCCGGGTTCTCATGGTGCTTGCAAGCATAAGCAGGTGACCAAGCCAGATGGGACTCCCACCCAGGCAGTGCTCAGTGCTGAAGCCCAATGCTGGCTATGCGCACCGAGGGGGATGCACACGAGGAGCTGAGTGAGCTCATTCTGGGCTGCAAGGAGGACACTGGTTCTCCTAAGGTCTCATGAACACACATACACACGACCCCTGAGGCAGAGAGCCCATCTCCTGGGCAAGGAGGCTGAGGGATGGTGAAAACTGGCCAAGGTCCCTGAGCTCAGGAGCCTACAGATGGGGTCTCAATCTTCAGTCTATCAGCTTCATGGGCCTCTGGGAAAGAGGGTCCCCATCACTGTACAAAGAGCCAAACATGGAATTAGCCCATTCCCCACGAACACTGAATGAGCCTGCCCAGCCCCACCCCACTGACCTCCTGCCTGCTCCTCGCTCTGTCCAGCCTACCTCACTGGCTCCATCTCCAACCTAAGCTATGCACAAGCAGCTGAGCGACCAGGAGAAGTGGGAGGCGAGAGCCCAGGTGCCCTGCCTCCTCCAGCAGCAGGGTGACTATGCAGATGCAGCCCGCTAAGTGCCTAGCACAAGGCCAGGCCCCTCACAACTGTCGGGGGGAGGGGATGCATCCCATCAATGCCCAGGAGGAGAAGGACAAGGTCCAGAGGACACAGAGGGCAGACCTAGTGCCTGACCCTTCACAGTAAGCAGGGAAAGAATAGCACTCCTCCTCGCCACTTGGCACCCTCCAGCCCTCACACAGGCTCACAGAGGGAATATCCTCCTAGTGAAGAATCGTGGTCTGGCTTGCCCAGAGCTGCGGCACAGGGTCTCTGTACCCTCAGAACCTTCTAGAAACTCTGTTACACATGAGAAAATCGAGAAAGAAGGAAAAGTGGGTAAAACATGACTCTAAATCTAAGGTGGTAGAACCCCTAAGTTGAACGGACATGGCTCTGAGGCTTTGCACAGAAATTTGGGCAACCCAAGGCACAGCCCAGGAGAACCTCGTGGTGCTTCTGTGCCTTTTGTGAGTGGTCATGTGGTGTCTTGTTGACCAGAAAATGCTGCTCACTAGATAAGCCACTGATCTCAGTGGCCCTTTCCATGGATCCACTTCCTCTTCTTTCCCTGACTGCTGAGGGCACAGCATGGCCATTGGCCACCAGAGGGCGACATGAGGCCAGTCTGGCAGCAAGCCCAGGGAACCCTGCCCCCAACACTGACCTCTGCCCTTGGGGAAATGTCCCAGGGAAGATAAAGGGAAGGCTGCCACAAGAATCCGAAGCGGCCGGACGGAGGTGCGATGTCCCTGAGGAGGCACTGGGGAAGCAGGGACTCTGAGGCCTTTCAGGGGGTCTTGATGATCTTGATAGGTCTTGGTATGATGGTCAGTTCAGTTCACATGTGCACCTGGCCAGGCCACAGCCCCAAGTGATGCCATGAATGCTAATCTGGATGGAGGTATTCTGTAGATGTGGTGACATCCACGACCAGCTGACTTTAAGAGAACGACCCTCAATAGTCTGAGTGGGCCTCACCCAATCAGCTGAAGGCCTTAAGAGGGAAACTGAGGTTTCCCGGGGGACAAAGAAGCTCGCCTGTGGACCACAGTGCCCATTCCTGCCTGCTCCATGCATGGACTTCAGCCTCACCAGTCCCACAACTGTAGGAGCCAATGCCTTGCAATGTACCTCTTGGTATCTCTGCATCTGCACACACAGACACATGATCTTCTACAGGCCCTGTCTCTCTAGAACACGCTGGCAGGGGTGAAACCCACAGACCTCCTCCATAAGGAGGCAGCCGGCCAGCTGTCAGGTGGAAACTGACTCAGACACTTGTGGCAACACTTCAGATTAAAAAAAAAAAGACTTCAATAAGGACCAGAAAAAAAAAAACTGAAATGTTCCAAGGCATGTGTGGTGGGTGTTGGGGGGCAAGAATTGTGGACAACTCGTCCCACTTTTTTTTTTCTCTTATTCTCCCAATTTTTCTATAAGATGATCCATTTCCTACAGAATGAAATAAATACGTTTCAGAAAACATGGAGTGCTCAGTTTCTATAACGACCCCCTCCCCCCACTGGCAGCCCAGTACTAAAATCAGACACCCATGGTCCCAGGTGCACCAACAAACCAGCTCCTGGGGAGGCCACAGCTCCAGGCCTGCTTGTCCCCTGGGACACCTCAATTTTGAATCAGTGCAGAGATCAGATCAGAACAGAGACTTGGGGGCCTGGGAGTCAGCTATGCATTGGCTACAGGAAGGAAGGGGAGACTCTGAGGGACTGCTGGGCAGAGAAGCTGCATTCACCCCAGAGAGCCTCTTGGTGTGGCCCCAGTCATGGGACCAACCTGGCAGACCTTAGCTCGGCACAGCGCCTGGCCTGACACACAGAGAGATGGGACCAAAATGCTGCCCCCAGCCTGTTTCTGTGCACAGCATGCCACAACAGGCCAGGGAGCACACTGTCACAATTCCAGATATGCTTAAGACAAAAAAGACTCACCCCTTGACTTCCTTGAAATCGGATTGATGGTCTCAGTGAAAAAGACTCCTGCAAAAAAGCAAATGGGAAAATGTCAATAAAGATATCTCAAAATCCAAAGGCTTACTTCCCAGGTATAGAAAGAGTAGGGTAAGGACAGTGTTTTCAGGAGACACAAGAGAAAACACACACACGTCTGAAAATTGCAGGAAAGGTCACTGGAGAATTTTGAAGGATCAGCAGGAGTTCCTGAATGGCCGGTATATAAGAAGTAAGAGTGGAGACACAGGCAATGGGCAGCCCCTCACTGTTACCCCCAAACCAACAGCAGCCCAGACCACCCTGCTTCGGAGACACCCCCTCAGAAGGGAATCGCAATGGATGAGCACCGCTGGCCAGAAGGCAGGCTGACGAGGTGATGCCCCCCCCCCCAAACACCCTGCCAGGACAGGGACCAAGGCCTGCTCAGCTCCCACGTCACAACTTCAGAGCAGTTTGTCACTGAGCCTGGGGTGGCGGAATTTCCAAATGTCACAAGAAAAAATATACTTAAAAACTCAAAATACTTTAAGCTTCAGCTATTCAGAGATCAGCCTTCTGTCAGAATTTTAGAAAGAACATGGATCCAGATGGAGGGTCACACCTCTCCTTCTCACCCATCTTGGGCCCCAAGCGCCCACCTTCTGTACAGCACGTATCACCCCACAGCGTGGCCCTAGTTTGTCACCACAACCCCTTCCCCCTCAGTCCCCAAACCCTCCTCGCTTCTGTGCCTACTATCCTCCCCAGCCTTCTCCAGACGCCTGGGCTCTCGCATCTCCATCCAAGCTTGCCCCTCGGGCCTGCAACCCAGCCCCACCGGCAGTGAGAGAAGACCCTTCCAGCTGGCCCCCCCCCCCACTCCCAGACACCAGATGTCTGGACTGACTACCTGTCTGCTCCCCACCCGGACTGTCAGGCCCACCACAGGCCCTGGGTGGGTGAAATAGCTCTCTAGAATCACGGGAAGAACCAACCAATGGGCAGGCTGGCCTCTCGGGGTGCATGGGTCCATCAGCTGCTAGGCTGAGGGCTGTAGTTGTATGAGGCAGACATGGCTCAGCAGCTGGGACCATACAAGCCGTACATGTACTCCACCCCCCCCACACACGCTTTGTTTACCAAGAGCCCCCTCTTTTGCCAAATCTCAAGGACTCTGGCACTGCAGCAGTTTGTCAGTGAACTTGGGGCAGCAGAATTTCCAAGTGTCCTGAGATCTGACACCCTAGAAACTACCCTACACTTCCAAAGCACATCACCTTCTCACTGCCAGGCTATCAGATATGGGACATCCTCCAGTCCCTTGTCCTGCTCCAGGACAGGAAACCAACCCCTGCTTTGGAGGGTCGCCGTGCTTTGAAGACAGGCCAGGCTTTCCCCAAAGCAGGCTCAGGACCAGCTGACCCATCCTATAAGCCACAACCTGACCTTGCCCCTCACCCCCCACCCCTGGGGCTGACGTTCAGAGAATGAGAAACACAGCACCTGTGGGGTCCCTGGACCGGCTAGGCCCTTGCAGATACAACATTTAAGAAGCCTTTGCTTGGAACTGGGTTAAAGACAGAGACCAAAAAGAAAACCTGCAGGTGGCCAATGAGCATGTAAGAAGCCACTAGTCATCAGTGAAGTGCAGGTTTCGCAGGGAGATACCACGCACCTATCAGGACAGCTAAAATGAAAAGGACAATACCCAACACACTGGTGGGAGTGCACACGGCAAAGCCACTGTGGAAAACGATCTGGTAGTTTCTAAAAAAGGTTAAACACAGTTACCATATAACCCAGCATTTCCACTCCAAGGGACAGATCCAAGAGAAATGAAAATACAGGTCTACACAAAAACATATATACAGATGTGCACAGCAGAATTACTCTTAGTATCCAAAAGGCAGCAACAACCCAAATACCCATCAATTGGTGGACGAAGTAACAACAGAATACTACCCAGAAATAAAAGGGAACAAACTCCTGATGGACACAACATGGACAAACCTCAAAGCCTCTGAGTGAGAGTACCTCAACACAGGACATCCTGCACCGGATGATTCTGTTCATGTAAATTTCCAGGAAAGGCAAAACTAGAGACAGAAAGCAGACCACTGAGTGCCCGGGCCATGGGTGGGAGCGGGCAGTGGCTACAGGCTGCCGGAGGCAACGTCTAGGGTGGTGTATTTACACTCACAGACCCTACACCTGAAGCGGGTAAGTTCCATGGGCCATCCACACAACTCCATGACAGCGGTGACCTGCCCTCAGGCTTACAGAGGGTCTTTCTCTGAAGACTCTTGGGCTTTGAGCAACATCACCTGAACACAAAGGATTCCTGAACACCCAGAGGAGATATTCCTGTCTGTTAACCATTTTCAGTGCAGGATATAGAGTAGATGGAAGGAAGCAGCAGAAGACACAAGAACACCACAGCAAAGGCAATGCTAAGGCAAAGCAGTCCTCTTTGCCGGTAAGGTCTACTGACCTTACCTGATCATCAAAGACAGGAAGGCAGGCTGCTCCCGGCAGAGGGAACAACAGGTACAAAGCCCAGAGCAGACACACAGGACGCCACATTGGCAGAGAGCACCTGGGGCTTGCTTCTTGCACCCCCACGTCTGTTAGCCCAGGCCCCCATGTAGGAGCCAGCCTAGGGCTAACTCTAGTGCCTTGCGTGTCTATCAACACAGGGCAAGGCCTGTGTTGGGGGAGGAGCTTGGGGGACAGGGGACATGACAATGGTGATGATACAAGTCTGGATTTAGAGTAATAATGGGGAGGAACCCAAAAGGGTGCATCTCCCCAGAAGGAACTCCACCAGGGCAGCCCCAGCAGTGCCTGGCAGACAACAACCAGCACCCACACCAGCTGGCGTGGTGGGCCACCCTCCCCCTGGACCACATGCTCCCTGTGGGCCAGTTAGTGAAGCATTTAAGTGGCATGGTAGCTGCCGAGCAAGTTATCTAGAAGACTCCTTTCCCGCAGTCACTCATTCCCGACGGCAGTGACTTTAACCATTGGAGAAGCTGGCAGAGAGGCCTAAAAACCCAGGCCTTCTCAACAATGCCAAGGCCATGTCCCCATGCAGCCTGGCTATCATCACAGAACCAGGCCCCTGGTTCTCATGGTGTCTCCTCCCTCCAGCAGAACCAGGCCCTTCTTGTCAACAGCAGAGCAATTCACTTGTTACTATCACATACATACCTGGATGACTCCCCACAGGCCCTGTCTATAGCCACTAACAAAAACAGGCGTCAGGACCAGACCCAACTAAGTTCCACCAGCCCTGTACAGGCAGGGGGAAAGGGGCCCCACCTGGTAGGACATTAGAACAAAGAGAGAAGCAGCCCTTAGTGTCCTCACACTCACTGGATGACAAGGTGTGTTCTAACGGCACTCAGGTCACAGGCCACGCCACCCAACAGGGGACAGCTGGTCACAGTCATAGCCACATTTACAGGCCCAGCAGGGCCCACCCTTGGTAATCTGGGTTAATGAGGCTGCCTGAGTCAGCTGCAGCTCTTACCCATCAGCTCCTCCACCCCAGGGCAGACTACCTTGACCTTTTGTGCAGACTCTTCTACATGGGGCACCTGCTCACCACTGTGCCCCACCCCCGTAAGATTTCCAGGAGGAACCACAGGCACCAGGAGGGTCACCTCTCCAAGGGCTGCAGGGATCTGATTTGGAGTGTCCTGCACACTGGCATGTGACCACCCCACCTGCCACAAACTCCCAGCTCAGAGGCCCCAGAACATTTCAATGAAGCATAACAAAATTGTTACAAGAGAGTTTAAGAAAAGAGAAATCTCTAAAGAGTTCTAAAATGTACTGAAACCACTTGTGTGTGTCCAACATCCACTCAAGTGGCCTTTGGCACACATTGTTTTGTTGGAGGGGGTTGCTACTTGCAATGGAAATCTGTTTTTAGATCAAAGTAAGGTTTTTATTTTTTTTAGAGCTTACAAAACATAATTTTATTGAAATTTGTGTACAGATAAAAATTTACCAAAATTTAAACAAAGACCTAATTCAAATTCCTTCCCACCACCAAAATGGACATTATAAGAAAAAGCCACATTCTCTCAATTACATTCTCCCCAGCGAGTAGATTCTGGAGGGAGAAGGAAGGAGAGAGAAAATACCGACAAAATATAATTTGATCTTCAGCACTGTCTCGTCTTGAAATGACTTAATTATGGAGATTTCCATAAGAATCAGCATTCTTCGGTTTTGACACTGAAATAGAACCTTCTATGCCAAAATCACAAATAAGGCTTCCGGCTTTATTTTTAGTGTGAGGTAAACAGTGTATTCAATATTAAGGCAAACGGTAGTGGGATATTAATGTGGATCTTCCACTGTACAATAGCATGTTTTGGAACATCCAGGGATTTCCTAAGGCTGTTGGAATTAGAAACTTGTAGAACCTGTTGCAGTGTACAACAGTTCTGAATGTCTTAGCTGGACCTTTTTGACAATCTGTCAAATGGAATCTTGTTTGAGTTTTTTAAAGCATGTAATTTTTTTTTTTATTAAAGTTGTAAAATTGTTGTAAATGAACCAGGGTCTGATCTCAAATTCTGTGTATATACACACACTGGCCAAATAAATTGCTCCCCCAAAGTTGGCGAAACAATGCCTACTGAGCAGGTTTACCATGACAGAGGAAGTGTGAGAACAGGACATTAATAAAGATTCTAAGTGAAATCAGATTATTTAGGCTGTCTAGCTGTCTTATTCAAGAAAATGCAGATTTAAGATCTTAGGTACAGTGATTCATCCTCTGGCTCACCCCTTCTCCCTTTTTTCCCAATGGGATAATCATTTCCTTCAGTGATGAGAGAAACAATCCTTTTTATGGCAAAATGGACTTCTTCCTCCAAGGGGTCAGGACAAAGCTATCACTTCTTAGCCACGCTGGCCACAGACTTCTTGGCTGCGTCCTTCAGGTCGACGGCCTAAGTAATGGGGAGTCCGCTGTTATTGAGAATGTTCTGGGCCTCGTGGACATTGGTTCCTTCCAGCCGGACCACCAGGGGCACCTTGAGTTCCAGCTCTCGACAGGCTTTCGTGATCCCATTGGCAGTGATGGCACAGTTGACAATTCCACCAAAAATATTGACAAGGATGGCTTCTATCTTAGGATCGGCTGTGAGCAGTTTGAAAGCTTGATATACTTGAGCTTCCTTTACACCACCACCAAGATCCAAAAAGTTGGCTGGCTTCCCACCATTCAGGAAGATGATGTCACAAGTAGCCATGGCAAGTCCAGCACCATTCACAAAGCAGGCAATGTTCCCATCCAGTCCTATATATTTTAGATCATATTTGGCAGCTTCATTTTCAATGGGCTCATTCTCTGATTTGTCGTCATAGCAAATATGTCCTTTTGTCGGAATTCTGCATTGTCATCAAAGTTTATCTTTGCATCGGGGTGCCTGGGTGGCTCAGTCGGTTAAGCGACTGCCTTCGGCTCAGGTCATGATCCTGGAGTCCCGGGATCGAGTCCCGCATCGGGCTCCCTGCTCAGCGAGGGGCCTGCTTCTCCCTCTAACCCTCCCCCCTCTCATGTACTCTCTCTCTCTCTCTCATTCTCACTCTCTCAAAATAAATAAATAAATCTTTAAAAAAAAAAAAAAGTTTATCTTTGCATCAAAACAGACAACTCGTCCTTCTGGGGTTTCACCAAAGGGATTCACTTCCACCTGAGTAGCATCAATTTTCAGGAAGAGATTGTACAGCTTCTTAATTTGATCTGCAGCCTGGTTTTTCAAAGGCCCAAGGAAGCAGATATTTTCTGCCATCCGCTGAGCTTGGCTGTCCTTTATCCCTTCCATAATGTCGATTTGCTCCTTAAAAATAAGTTCTGGATTCGAAGCTGCCACCTCTTCAATGTCAACGCCCCCCTGAGGGCTGCCCACCAGTACAGGGCCATTGCAGGACCGGTCCATCAGAATGGCCAGGTAGGTTTCTCTGGAAATGTCTAAGGCTTCAGCAACCATCACCTTGTTAACTTTCACACCTTCTTTTGGAGTTTGTTTTGTGGCTAGATTATACCCAATCATCTGTTTAGCCAGCTGTCCCACGACTTGAGGGTCTTTTGTTAAATGAACACCTCCTTTCAAACCACTACTGAAGATACCTTTTCCTCTTCCTCCAGCCAAGATCTGGGCTTTAAAACAAATTCTTTTGCATTTAGTTTCTTAGCAGCCTCCAGAGCCTCCTTTGCAGTGTCTGCTACAAAGAATCTTTGAACTCTGACTCCGTGGTCCGACATCAGTTTCTTGCTCTGGTATTCCTGCAGGTTTAGCCATCTTCGGGGGGTTAACTGAACTGCCTGGGATCTCGTCGCCAGCAGCAGGGGCCGGAGCACCAGGTCTCGCAGAACTTTCCGGGCCTGCGCTGCTGCGGGAGATGCCATCTTAAACAGGAAACCAAGGTTTTTATTTTTCTAAACAAAAGTTCTCAGCTATTTACTGTAAAGCAAATACGTTTAATTTGAATGACTCAAAACGCATCACGCCTGTCACCTCCAAGAACCTACTGGAATAAAGCTGGCTGCATAATTCACCAATTCTTAATCTTCCCTCTGAGTCAGGTTCAGGGTGGGGCAGGCAGGCCGAGGGGACCCCCAAATGCCGTAGGTCCCTGTGACAGCCTCTGACTGCCCAGCTCAGTGCCTCAAGAAACTTTCCAGATCACGGGCTGGGGAAGCTAAAGGGGCTGGATGTGTGGGCAGAGGCCCTTGGAGGAGAGGGCAGTACAGAAGCCTCTCCTGGAGCCTGCACAGGGCCCTAAGCTGCTCCCCTTGAAGGCTCAGGGGCACTCCCCCGAGGCAGGGCCCCAAGCCAGAGGATATGGCCTACGAGAGGCCATATCTGTTGCCAGTCCAAGGGAGTTCTCACTGTACCCCCCTCAGCAGTGGAGCTAATCTAGCCCTCAAGTAAAGGCTTCACTCAGTTCCCTTTACTAGAAAATCTCAGAAACAAGCTTCCGCAGGATCAGCTCACCCACCACTAACCAAACTGCCTACCAGCAGCCAGCAGCAGAACCAACACACTTTAAGAAGGACAACGAAATCCAGCACATGACCCCATGGAATTCACAACACTCAGTATCCAAAACCAAAAACCTCCAGAGATGTGAAGTTATAGGAAAATGTGACCCCCCCCAACCCAGGAGAAAATTCAGCCAATGAAAATCGACTCACAAAGGACAGAGACAATGGAACTGACAGACAAGGGCTTCACTTTAGAGTAACCATTACATTTGAAAAATGTTCAAGAGTTTAAAAGAAACTTGAACTGGTGAGAAAAGAAATATGAGGTATGAGGAGAGAGCCACATGGCACTTCTGGAGCTGAGAAATGAAATATCTGGAAACAAAAACTCACGAAGTGGGATTAATATTAGACAATGTGGAAAAAAAGGTTATGAACCTGATGACAAACTACCAAAAACTATCCAAAATGAATCATACACAGAAAAAAGTCTACAGGAAAATGAACAGTCTTGGTGAACCGTGGGACAATGGTACCAAGAGTTCCAACATATGCATAACTGGAATCCCAAGAGCTTGGTATCTGAGGAAATAATGGCCCAAATGTGAGGAACACAATAATTCCATAGATTCCAGAAGCTCCAGCAGGAAAACAAAGAACCATGTCACAGCACACCATAAGCAAATCAGTATGACCGCTGATTGACATGCTACGAGAACCAAGGAGCAAAGATAACTCACAAGGCCAAGTATCAGAAACAAGCCTGGAGACCGTGGAAGGACATCTGTAAAAGACTGAGGGAAGAGCAATGAATGTCAACCTAGAGTTCCTTATCAAGTGAAGGAGAAGGTGAAACAAAAACTTGTTCAGGCAGAAAAAGGCTGAGATCATCTCTGCAGTAGATCTGCACTGCAAGGAAGATTCCAGAAGTCCTTCGGGAGGAGGGAGCGTGGCACCAGATGGACACGTGGATCTGCACCCAGGATGAAGAGCACTGGGGCACGGGGAATGTGTGCATGAACATGGAAGACTTTGTCTCATGGTGACATTTCTGTAGATCACTGACTGTTGAAGGCATAAACAGTGATGAAGTAAGGATTTGGAAGTGCAGCCGTGAAAGGGTGGCAGTGAGGCACAAGGACCTGGGTGGGTGGGGGCAGGGAGATGGAAGCAAATCCCAGGGTCCTGCCACCACATGACCTGAGGCATGAGGTTAACTGGAGGGCTGCATTCTCCCAGTGCCAAGCTAACCCTGACCTCCCTGAGCCACGGCCCTGGGGGGTAGAGCAGCCAGACTCTGCACATTTGCCTGCTAGACATGCTGGCCGTGCATCTCTAGCGTGGTTGGACCACTTACCCCTTTATGCACTCGAGGGGCATTTCCTGAGTCCCTCAGGTCCCAGGCTGTGCCTCACAGAGCATGGCAGGCAGGGCAGGACAACCAGACACAGGCCACCCCAGCACGTGGCCATGACTGCACATGGAAGGATCAAGTGAGGGGTACGGTGCACATGGCAAGAGAGCAGACCTGGGGCGCCTGGGTGGCTCAGTCGGTTAAACGTCTGCCTTCCGCTCAGGTCATGATCTCAGGGTCCTGGGATCGAGCCCTGCATCGGGCTCCCTGCTCCGCAGGAAGCCTGCTTCTCCCTCCCCCACTCCCCCTGCTTGTGTTCCCTCTCTCTCTGTGTCTCTGTCAAATAAATAAATAAAATCTTAAAAAAAAAAAAAAGAAAAGAGAGAGCAAGCCGACCCGAACGAGGGCGGGGCCGAGGCTGGGGCGGAGCTTCGGAGCAGCTTGGGCTGCAGAGGGAGCCGTGGGACAGAAGCCCTGGGTAAGAAGGCATGCTGCAAACAAGTCAGCGGCCGTGGGGCTAGTGCAGGGCCTCCCCTGGGCTCGTGGACTTCTCCTCAAGGTGTGGCACCAACAGTGTCTGTGGAGCAAGCGGCCAGAGCCCTTGTCGGAGATGCCTTCGCAGCGGGACCAGTGCTCACCCTCTGGACCCGCCTGGCCTGGCCCCCAGCAGCTGGGACACCCTGGCAATGCATGGGCTCACCGTGCTAACATGCCCCACCACTGCCTTCTGGCTGGCTGTTCCCTGCAGGGGACAACAGCTCATGGGACCAGGGACATACCATTTGTTAGGGAAGCCTTGTCACCCTGACCTTGCCGCCTCAGCAGGACAGAAGGTAAAAGGCGGCAAACATGTCAAGGCCAGGAGGGTCCAAAAGACTAGCCAGGGTGCTGCCCATTTCCCTATTGCCCTGACAGCTTCCGTGTTATTCCCCAGACTGTGATTAGCAAGTCACCAGGTACTGTAACTTCCTAGAACAGTCTCTGGGACACGGTACTACCTGTCTGCATGTGTCACGCTCAGTGCCTGTGTGGGCTGCGCTTCAGGTTGGCAAAGTTACACACGATGCCTCTAGTCTCTGCAGACCCTCTTGAGGGGTCATGTCACTCCCACCATAGGCTCAGAGGTCACATCCTCCCCAGGGGCCAAGCAGCCCAGTGACTGCAGTGACTGCAGCAGGCATGGAGGGCTGCCCCCCCCTACTGGCCCTATCAGGACCCTGTGTAGCAGAACGTCATCTCCTATTGGACGTGTGTAGGGTTTGAAACCAGGAGTTCATTGGGACAAGTGTCACTGTTGGTGTTGTGCTTCAGCCAAGAGCCCAGGGTGAGTCAAGAGGCCTGGTGGGGGTGGGCAGTGAGGAGGCATCACCAAAGAACACCCTGCAGTCTCTGTCCCCAAGCAGCTCCCACAGGTATCATAAAGATGCTGATGAGGGTAGGAAGACATAGGGAGCAAGCAGAGCAGGGGAACAGGTAGCCCTGCGGGAGGAGGCATGGAGTGCTGCCCAAGACCCCTTTAAGCTAGGACTGGGAGAGGGCGAGTTAGAACTTCACCATGGCCAGAATCCCCATAGAGCTCTCCACGGAGAAGAGCACTTCACGGGTAAAGCCACAGGACGTAGCTTACAAAATCCACCTCCAGGTCCAGGAAGCACACTAGGTAAGGCACTGAGTTACACTCGGGGTTCTCAACCAGGTGATCCTGCCAGAGGACACTGATGAAGTCCAGAGACAGACTTGGTTGGGGAGGAGGGCACCCCTGGAATCAGGTGCAAGGAGGCCCAGGATGCTGTGCCCACAACAGCCCCACCCCAGAATGCTCTAGCCCCCAGTGTCAGCAGTGCTGAAGCCGGGAAGCCCTGAGCTAACTGCTGCCATGAGGAAAACAAAGGGGAAAGCAATCTTCAAAGCAGAACGTGGGCCATAACGTGGGACACTACACGGGACAAATGACCTGGTTTCTTCAACAGATGGATGGCACAAAAGGAAGAAGGATGGAGTGCTATAAATTACCAGACTTGACATGCACATCCCATGTGGCTCTGCATGGACCCAGCCAAGTGAAGACCCAGCAGAGACAGCCTGCAAGGGGGCCAGGGGCTGCTCTCTGGTGCTCTCAGAGAGCTGAGTGAAGACTGCATCTGAAAGAAACAGTCCATGTCTGTTAACATTCAACGCAGTCATTGACAAAGCCAAGGGTGAAAGGAAAAGATACCTGGGATTGTTTTACAAATGCTCCATCAAAACTCAACAGAACAGGGGAGAGCAGGGGGAAGAGGCGGACCGCGAAGGGTCAGGCACTCACAGAGGGCAAGGCTGGGTGATGGCACGGGGCCACTCGTGCTCGTCTCCGTCATCCCCACACATTAACACACCCACGTGAAAGGTTTCTAATAAAAAGTGCACACGTACGGGACCTCCCGTACCACACAGAACAGACATGGGGCCAGGCCAGTGAGAGACAAAAGCACGGAGTCTGCACATCATCTGGGGAAGGGGAACAGAGCCAGCAGAGGTAGGACAAGTGAGGACTGGCCTGACCTGGACAGAGCCCCAGGACGTCCGCCACAGGCCCTGCGTGGGAAGCAGCACTGAACTCCACCCGGGGAAACATGCTCCCTGCCATCTGCACAGCCTGAGCCCCAGAACACAGAAGTGCCTGTGGAAAATGGGCTGAAAAGAAGAGCTTGTTCCTCCTTAAAGGGTGTCCCTCTTGGCAAAGCACAAGTGAAGCGCACCAGCACTTCTCAGGGGCTGCGATCAATCACTCAATCCGCTCCTGAGCAGAATGCGGCCAGGAAAGGGGGCAGTTAAGTCCTGAGAAAAGGCCTAGCTGCCGACCTCCTGGCAACTGTCCCCCCCTTTCCAGTAAAGCACAAACAATTGGGAAACTCCTTTCAAGGAATCCTCCCTGCAACTTCCTGGCAGACTCTGAGCAGGATGCCGAGGCTGTGGAGAGCTTAGACAGTGTCTGGGACCGTGAGGGGCCATTTCCGTGAAGTACAGACAGGGAGAATGGAAGCACATTCATCACTATGTGGAGGGACACATCAAAGCAAGAAAAGGGGGCGCCTGGGTGGCTCAGTCCATTGGGCGTCTGCCTTCGGCTTGGGTCGTGGTCCCGGGGTCCTGGGATCAAGTCCTATGTTGGGCTCCCTGCTCAGCCTGCAGTCTACTCCCTCTGCCCCTCCCCCTGCTCGTGGGCTCTCTCTCTGTCTCTCAAAAATAAATAAATACATTTTAAAAAAATTGTATCTAAAAAGCAAGAAAAGAGATTCCAAGCAGCCAAGAGCCAGGTGTAAATCAGGACCCACACAAGGGCCAGCACCGCACATACTTAGATCTAAATTCATGGAGGTACACAGAGTATTGTTTGAGGTTTAGAAAAGTTTGAGGATTAGGAAAAAAAAAAGATGCAAATCACCTGAAATTGTGATCCAGACAACCCCCACCCCTGCATGTTTTGTTTGCTCTTCTTGGGTCAGCAAATAAAGGCAGACTAGAAGGGCCACCTTTTTTCTGCTGATTCCCCCTATACCCACCTGTACTCCAACTCTCCACCATCCCCAGTCCCTGGAGATCACAAATCTGTTTTCTGTCCCTACGGTTGAGCCTGTCCCAGGTTACATAAATGGAATCATACCGTCTTAGTTTCCTGTGGCCAATGTAACAAATCACCACAACCTTGGTGGCTGAAAACAAGAGAAATGTATTCTCTCACAGTGCTGGAGGCCAGAAGTCTGAAATCAGTATTCCCCGGCTGAAATCCAGGTGTGGGCAGGGCTGCACTCTGTCCAGAGGCTCTAGGGGGTGGTCCTTCCTCACTTCTTCCAGCCTCTTGGGACCCTAGGCATCCCTCAGCTTGTGGCCACATCACCCCATCTCTGCCTCTATGGTCACACCACCTTCTCTTCTGTGTCAAATCTCTTCCTGCCTTTTTTTTTTTTTTTTTTTTTTTTTAAGATTTTAGTTATTTGACAGAGAGAGCACAAGCAGGGGAGCAGCAGAGGGAGAGGGAGAAGCAGGCTCTCTGCTGAGCAGGGAGCCCAACGCGGGGCTCGATCCCAGGACCCTGGGATCATGATCTGAGCCGAAGGCAGAGGCTTAACCAACTGAGCCACCCAGGCGCCCCTTCCT